GATCTTCAGTGTCTCTCCAGTGCAGGCTGAAGGGATATAGTGTATGGAGGGGGGGTTATACAAGCCCATCTTCAATGCTATCAGCTGAACCTCCCTACCTGGCTTCCAATGACCTTTCCTGCCATACAGCACTGCCCTTGAAGACAAAGACAAATATAATGGGGGGGGGGTGCAAGGGGTGGGGTGGGGGGATACAGGAAGGGCTCTGCACCTAGCTGGCAGATGGAAAGCTGGTTGCCTCCGGAATCCTACTGGTTAACACCCACCCTCACTACCTTTTCACATGCATTTTGCTACCCCTCCTCTCTATTTTGTGTTGCTGTTGCTACCGCCACCCTCAACCCTCCCTTTGTTGCCCAATGAAGCTTTTCAAGTGTATATGGGTCTTCTTCCGCTTTGGCCCCAGGGACACCTTGGAACCATCTCTGGCCTGCTGGATTCTACCCACAGGGCCCTTCCAGGAAAAAAACATCTGTTGCATTTGCCGGGCCTTGGACTCCAGAGTTACAGCAGGCGAACCAGTGGAGCTATCCAGAGCACATCTGGGATGAGTCTCAGTTGGGAGAGCTCAAGGATGTCTCAAGGTGCTTGCCCAGGTTTGTGCGACCACCTCTGGGCTGGATCCTTGCCCCTCCTGGCTTGTGGAAGCCAGCAAGGAAGCTATCATGGGCCGGGCCAGGGAGGTCTCCACTGCCTCTTCGCAAGAGGAGGTGGTGAGACCACTTCTCCAGAACAGAAAATGCGAGCAACTACAGGCTGGTAGCAAATAAGGCTTTCCTGGACAAGGTTCCAGAGAGGTGGTTGCCAATCAACTCCAGGCACTCTTGGATGACACTGGTTAGCTAGATCCATTTCACCGGGGTTCAGGCCTGGCTTGGCACAGAAGCAGCCTTGGTCACCCTGTTTGATGACCTCTGCCCCCCACCTTTGGAACAATCTCCTTGCTGCAGCCCACCTGGAGCCAAACTCACCATTTTTTGGATGACAGGTCAAGGCAGCCCTTTTTTGCAGAGGTCTTTAAAGACTTCCCTGGTTGTTCAGGGCCTGATGTGATTAGTCAGGTGACTTTCTTTTACTCTTGGCTACATCGTTTTACGGTTTTTATTGTCTTTTAATGATATTTTATACTATTTTAAATTAATTGTTAATGTTTGTTAATGTTTTTATTTTTAAATCATTTCATACTTTATTGTAAACTGCTCAGAGATCTTTGGCTATGAGCAGTATAGAAATGAAATAAATGAAAATAATATTATTACATTACATAGTCACATTTCATTACATTACATTTCTACCCTGCCTTTCTTCCTCTTTCAGGGAACCCAAGATGGCTTGCAAAGTTGTCCTCCGTATCCCCACAGCAACAACCCTATAAGGTAGGCTAGGCTGAGAGTCTGTGACTTGGCCCAAACTCACCTTATGAGGATAGACTAGAGACCGGAGCTCTGCTGTCACAGTCCAATGTTCTAACCACTAGGCCACACTGCCTTGCCATGTATCGATCAGGGTTACTCTTCTTTCACTTCACAATCTTGGCACAAAATCTACTTCTTTTCTAAAACAGTCCAAATGAACTTGGCCTGACCCAGCATGCAAGTGGGGGATTGTTTCTCATATTAGGTCCAAGGGGCACTCACGTCTCTGCTCATTATCACCCCAGAGACTGTATCAACAATTAATTAAAAGGAGATTGTGCATGTCAATTCCTTTGTTCCAAAATGACTATCTAATTCAAGGAAACTGCTGTGTGTAGAGAATACAGTGCTGGTAAGAAACCTCCATCAGTTCCCCGGAGACAGATTTAAGTTGGCTACATTCCAAAGGCAGAGTTGGATCCTGTGACCCCCATTCTTTGGATCTCAAAAGCCATCACCTGACCGACTTCCCTCACCAGAGAGCCAATATTGCCCGCACAATTCCAAACCGTTCCCCTTTCTCTTAGCTCCATCCCATACACATTACAAGCCTCATTAGGAGAAGAGACCAGTGTTATCTTCATGCTTGATGTGCTAGGGGGGCTACAGAAATCAGGCAGTAGCACCAGAAATATAATAATACTATTGCGCTTATTTTCCATCCAGATATCTAACATCTGGTTTTTTTCCTCTTTGCCCCAAAAATCTGCCATCTGTTTAAGGAGGATGAAGGCACACCAGAAAGACCTGGCAGAACTTACATCTGATTTCACGATGGAGTGTGGAGGAGGAAGCTACATGCTCCACCGTGCATTGGAACTTCTCGGATTTCCAGCTGCTGGCTGAGACAGTGAGCTGGCTGCTGAGTGTATAACGGCTGTTAGAAGAGTCGAAGACAGCAGGGAAAGTCTGGATGCCGGTGGAGATGGCACCTGAATTCCACTGGACTGTAACTGGCTCAGGGAAGTAGCCGGTGACCAGACAACCCATGCTGACTTGGGAGGAATCGGAAAGCTCCTGATTGCACAGGGACAGCGGGAAAACAGTGGGGGCTGCGATGCTCACTGTGAAGGAAGAGAGAAGGACACACCATAACAATATGCTCCGCAGGTCATTGTTTCATATGCATTTATTTTCCAAAGGCCAAATCAGTGATATAAGAGACGCATTACTGACTTATTTGCCCAGCTCATCTGTGGTTTGGACCTGTCCCAAAGCATCCAAGTAGACCTGAATGTAAGTTTACTGCCATATGTATCCTATTGATGCTTGTTTCAGGGGCAAGAGGCTTCTTGAAATAAAGCCCATTGAGCACCCAATTCCCCATCTTCTGAAATGTCCCCAGACTTTGCCCGGTCACTTCCAGTTTGTTTTCACAGCCATGATGGACTCAGCCTATGCTTATTTGGCAGCTAACAATGGAGCTGTTCTGATCTTTGGAAAGAATACAGCCAGCTGTGGTTAACAGCCATTGATAGACCCAGACACTCTGAATTAGTTTAATGAATAATAGACACACAGAAACATAGAAACTGAGCAATTCAGAAGGGGTTGCCCGGGCCATCTAGTCTGACCCCTGTCTCCGGCCAGCTCCATTCATTACATGCCTACTATGTGCATAATGAGGAGTTTAAAAAAGTGGTGTATTCCCACAAGTGGGATTCTTTACTCCCCCTCTGATTCTTTACTCCCCTTCTCCCTACTTCATTGAAATTGCAGTGGAACTCTAAGGTTGTGATCCTGTACACACTTCATCATGAGCAACCCTTGCCCAACTCAGGAGGATGTGAATCTGAGTAAACACGCATGTGAGTGCCATGTCATTCAGTCAATACCACTTTTCTGTACAGTCCAAAGAATCTTCTGTCAGAAGTACCTCCTGCTGTTGACCTACTGGTCAACACCAAACCATTGTACATGGGGTAATAGTTGCATTCAAGTCTAGCTTCCTTTCCCCCTAATGAATGGGCTTGGGGTGAGGCCAGCTTCTGTCTAGGAGGTGGAGGCAAGAGGAGGTAGGAGGGGGTTTGGGGCAGTAGCAGGAATTTCGACCACTGCAGTGTAGGCAATGGCAAACGGGTGTGCTGTATGGCCTGAGTGAGCAGGGAAAGTGCTTATCGGTTAGGGAAAAGGCCGGAGAACATGGGCTTTATTCTGGAAAAGAAAACTTGCATGCGTCAATAGCTTGTCAGCTGTAATTAGCCAAAGCTGGCACACAAAAGCATGACAATGAACTTACAGTTATCTCTACCTTCTTTAATTAGCTTGATGTGATGGTGGATACTTTAACAGGCATGGGGAGATAATTGTGGCAAAAAACTTTAACTGAGAAATTTGTGCATTGTTTTATTGGGTGGATTTTGAGTGTTCCAATTTCTGCTTATTTATTCATCCATTTATTTTCCCTACCACTCAACAGGCAAAGATATCTGGGTGGTTCACAAAGCACAAACTTAAACTTTGAAAAACCTTTCAAACGTTTTGCAATTTTAATTCTTTTTAGTGTGGTTAGCCATAATTGAGTTTTGATAAATGGTGAGCCAAAAATGTTTTAAAATAAATTATACACTATACATCTTCAGAATGAAGTCAAAGTGCTTGATTTGAAAGCACATTTCCTGAGATACCTAAATTAATTGTCCATCAAGGTCTATTTTTCCCAGGAACTACTTGTTTTTAGTACTGACCACAATGCAAAGCTGTGTGCCCCTTTTTAGCTCTACTAGTTCTCACTTCCTCTTATTTCAGCACCATCTGTAGCTAGCAGGTATCCTGCATCCTGTTTACCACCCCCTTGCCTGTAGATTTGAAAGAACACTAGTCAAAAATCAAGCAATCAGGCACATTCCAAGAATAATGAGAAAAACCACTCCCTCACTCCCAACAAGTAACAAACCTTAGTGGGGATAATAAAACCTAATGGATTTGTACAACCAATTGCAACTTGCTCTACTTTAAATTCTATTTTTATGCGTTGCATTAAAATGACCATCAACTAGAGGTTTATGTGTCCAGCCTGCTCCGGAAATGGATTACTCTGGATGGACACATTCAAGGCCTTCAAGTTCAGCCAATCTTCTTAGGAGGAAGAGGCCACTGAGAAAAATGCTGGTGCTGTAATGGAAGAAGCTTCCCTTTCTGTATGTTATTCAGTTAATAAGGCAGAAGAGCCCAACCAGGGTAAAACCAAGCAGTCACTGGCAACCATAGCTAAGTTAAATCCAAAGAGTCCTGGTTTTCTAAAAGAGAGGCTGGCCAATGCGTTCACAAATTCTGGTATGGAAGACAATACAGCTACATAGGAAAGGAGTATGCATTCTGGTATGCTTGCGCTTAACTCGAGGCATATCCCTCTATAAGTATCTCAAAGGCTGTCACAAAGAGGAAGGTCAAGATCTCTTCTTACTACTGCCAGAGCATAGGACACGGAATAATCAGTTCAAGTTACAACAGCTCAGATTCAGGCTGGACATCAGGAAAAACTTCCTCACTGTCAGAGTAATAGGGCAGTGGAACCAGCTGCCTGGAATGGTTGTGGGCTCTCCCACACTAGAGACATTCAAACAGAAATTGGACAGCCATCTGAGCGGGGTAGTGTAAATTGGTGTCCTGCAACAGCAGGGGGTTGGACTCGATGGCCTTCCAATGCTACCATTCTATGATCTATTGCATCTAACATGCATATTAGGTCTGTTGGGGAGTTTCACAAAGTCTTTGTCAACGCATTTAATGATGGTACAGAGACACCTCCAGATCACCACCCCACTTCTGGTCTACATTTCCTCCAAATGCAGTGTTAAAACAACAGCAACCCTTTTGCTCTTAGCCTGAGAGTTCTGTTTCAGTGGTAAGCCTGAGAGTCTCACTTGCTTCTTCCAGGTTAGCATTCACACATGACTCACAACAATGGGAGTCCCTTAGGACCCCTGGATAGCTCACAGTCAATGAGCAATCATGGCTGGATAATATTGCCAGCTTTTTTCCCCCTGGCCCTGCTTCATGGTCTTTTTCGAAGAGCTTGGCACACAGCAACCAAGTCAGAGAAGCTATTCCCAGCCCTTTTCTGGAGAGGCTGCTTGAAAAGGCATAGAAGCAGGGCCCATTAACAGATTAGCTGCACAAGGGATAGATCTCTTCCTCCAAACCACAGTCCTGCTATCTTGTTCTCAGGCTTCCTATTGCTTCATTTCAGTATTGCACTGTGTCTGAAATACTGCATGGTAAGCTAGATGCTAAGGGCACCATGCAAACAAACACCTGCCTGAGCCCTCAATCCTGGCTTTCCCTGGGCATTCTGAGATGCTCTTGCTACTGTTTTGTGAGGCATCCAAGGACCCCTTGAACTCCAGCCACCAGAGCAAGAAAGAAGCTGGTCATAAAAAAACCGACCACCAAATGGCCAGCCTGCTCCTGTGTCTTTAGCAGTCTGGTGGTTGATAGATAATACTGTTTATCAGCTGGGAAAGTTGTTATTACCTGCTAAGAGCAGGAAACTGAAGCTACTGCCAATGCACAGGGCTAGATTCATGCATCTTTTGCAAAAAAAAAGTTTGCAACCCTAGCCTTAGCTTTCTGCCTCTGACCTCCCATCCCATAATCTCCATCCCCCATCTCTTTTAATCCACAGTAGCTCTGTCCTTTGATCTATGTGCTGCCTCCTCCCTGAACCAGACCCACTGCAAGGCTCAGCTGAATTTGACAAGCAGGGGACTTCGGAAATTCACATGTGCTTGAAAATAGAGCCCTTCTCACTAAGCTCAGAGGCAAGTGGGGGAAGATTAATGAACTGCCTCTGTAACAGCAGCCCAGTTTGCAGGTGTTAGGGAGTAATAAAGTTCTGTTTCAGTGGTAAGAAAAGCTTCTCTTTTTCTACAGAGCAAGATGCTCTTAAAGGCAGAAAAGTAATTCTGATCACTCGGCAACCCACTGGATGCACCCCATCCCAGACATTCTGAGACTTAGCCCTTGACATTTTAAAGAGCTTATAAGGGGAGTCTTGGCTTACATTAAACTCTTTTTCTGCTACATGTCAATCTGCAGAAATTCTCAACTGTCTCCCACAGCAGTCCTAAGAACTGGTGCTGATTTCCCACCCATGCAAGCCATCTTTTATTATTTCCAGAGGCTGGCACATTTCCTTTCACCCTTAAAACCTAATGTTTGCACACAATGAAAGGGAACTGTGTCCCCTTATTTTATTTCCACACCACATATGGCTTCCCTACTGTATTTCCCTGCATATCAGGCTTTTGCTACAGGCAAAACAGGTGGCAGTATTATATTCCTCCAGCTCTTCACCTCTCCCCAAAGTTAAACAGTGTTATATGGGGGGTGGCTAGGAGTAAACGACTTCCCCTGTCAAACTCCTTCTCCTTTAACATTGCTCTAACAGGTGAAAGATGTAGGTGGCTTAGATTTCCACTGAATGGAAATGCAGAGGTGAGAAAGCTTCGGTGGTTGACTGGTGGCTGGCTAGACACACTGTGTGCAAATGGTGAATTTTCAGATTTTAGGATTTCAGCTCTCAGAAACCCCTGCTAATGTGGCTCATGGTCAGGATGCTAGAAGTTGAAGTCCAAAACATCCAGAGGGTTACCTTCTGCCTACTCCAACTGTTAGTGGCACAAAGACCTTGACAGAAAAGGGCAACCAGCCCACTGCATACCTCCTCAGCTGCTGAACTTGAACTCCAGCTCTCCTGTCTTACAAAATCAGCTTTCAAACCTGGACTGATAAAACATTATGCCTGTGAAAAGGTGGCTTACTTGCGTAACTTGCTATAGAACTCTCCTTTCAAAACAGAGCACAGAATGAGTAATGCCAACACCTTCTCTTGTGTCTGAACAGCAGTTTCATCCAGAGACATTTGCAGCCACAGTGCTAGTTTCCACATGGCTTCTGCAGATGGAACTGCTATTAAAGGGCTAGGAGCAGAGCCAGGCTGAAGTTTTTTCTGGGTTAGCTGGCAACTCCAAATCGATCCCAGGAGCTCTGGCTGCCATTAACTCCTATCTTGCCCTTGCTGGTCCATCTCATTCTCTAGGATAGCAGTGGGCAACTTGTG